GAGAATAACATCACTCTTTTGGACCATCATGCATGTTCCCCGGATCTAAACCCAACTGAGAACATTTGGGGATGGATGGCAAGATACGTAAGTATACAAAAATGGACATCAGTTCCAGACAGTGGATGCCCTTCGTGAAGCCATCTTCAACACTTGGAGCAACGTTCCCACTAGCCTCCTGGAAACACTGGCATCAAGCCTAAACCATTGTTTGAAGTCATCAACAAGAATGGTGGAGCTACTCATTACTGAGTCCTTTTTTTGACACTTTGATTTCTGTTTTGGGAGGTTTTTGGGTTTTTTTGAGCTGTGATCTTAAATTTTTGATCAGCTGAAAAAATCATGTTTGAGTGTAAATGCAGTTTTCAGAAAATTCCTGCTCAAAAGTTCTTGTCTCTTGCACTGATTTCTTCTTTTAACATCGTGAAGCTCTACTTAGAACCTTCTTCAGATCCAATAGTGCAAAATGCAAATTCTTGCACTTTTTTGACTGGTCTTATAAATTGACAAGACTGAAATGTCTGTATTTAAGAGGGATATCTTGTTTCTCACTGTTGTTTTTAACTACATTATTTCTCTGTTTGAATTCATTTTAATTTGACAKTGATTAATGATGATTTAATCTAATTTATTTATTTTTGTTCACCACTTTAGGCATTAAAACTACTTTTAGTTTAGGAAAACATCACAAAGCATTTAACATTTAAAAAAAGAATAATTGAGAAATTCTCACAGTGAAATCTGTGTGAAGATCTTGAACGTAAAACTGCAAAAAAACCCCGTCAAAGAAGCAGCTCTTTACTGTACCAAACTCTGCTGTCTCCAGTTTCCACTTAAAAATCAACTCTTTGTTGACGAAATGCATCTCTGCTCCGAATGAACAAAAAGCTCTTTTAAAACAACATCTTATCCAGACGACGACCCAAATTTCAGACAAAGATTCGCACCTYAACCGACTCCTTCAGAGCCAGATTTGTTTTTTCTCTTTGGACCCACAGATGAGTYTGTGTGGATGTTTTGTTGGGTTAATGCACCTTATTGTTGCCCTCACTGTACTCTTTTCTTTCCCTCCTTTCACTTCATTACATGCCTCTCCTGTGTGTCATCCTGCATGGTGTGTTCTGCAAACATCAGCTGTATATCATACAGTGAAGCTTGGTCCAAATCTGTGATAAAACATTTTAATTTGTCTCTATGCTTGTGATCTAATACCTGAATTTTTAAATGAAATAATGCTGTAAAAAAGAGTCCCCAAACACTCAAAGTGGTGACAAGGGATCCATTTTTTACTGCTTTTTGTTTTTCAGATTTACCGTAAGCTCATTGCCCACATGTTTAGTTGTTTACTTCTTATTCATTTGCTCAATAACATGACAGCTTTTGGATGTTTTTTCTCAATATTTTAGACTTGTGGGGTACCTCAACAGGAAATATATACCTTCCTCCTCCTTCAGTCAGATGATGACAACAGATAAAGACCAAAACAAGATGATTTTTTTCCTTAGTAGAAAATGTTACTAATTCTACTTTATGGAAACAAAGGTCTTGCTTAGAAAACATTAGGGGATTTTTAAAAAATGAATAATGTCACAGCTCACCCACTTTCTAGTGAAGTCACCTCATTATAAAAAGGTGTCCAACAGTGAGCAGTTCTGCTCTTTATCATTTCAGGACTTTTTCAGTAAAACGTTTTCATTGTGAACACAGGGAACTCCTTGTAAAACATGATAAAACTGTGTATTTGTATATGCAGGGATGTTCTTATCAGTGTGCATTGCCAATGCAATGCACACTATTGTGATTCGTTCCCCATCCAAGTCATCCTCTATTTCGGCACGCTTCTCCTCCTACATACTTTGTCCTGGAGCTGACATTGTAATTTGTATCTGTAAAGCTCCTGTGCCAAATGCAGGCTATGCTTTTTGGTGCCTGTACAACTTATAGTTTTTGAAATATTAATTTTTAAACTTTATTAATGGGTGTCAATAGAGCCTTGTATCGGTCCAATACTGCCCCTGATTTATGTGCTCAGCTTGGTACTTTAATAATATTTAAACTCAGTACTTCAGTGATTACTATACTAATTTCTTTGTATTTTAATGTTTTACTATAAWATTGTCTTGTAAACATTTACATCTTATAAAATCTTGCTATATTGTTGAAATATACTGTATTGCAGTTTTGTGTCAACGATCATCATTTGCAATGTTGCCTCTTTCTACACAAAGAAAAAAACACTTGAACTGTGCTTTCATACAGCTCCAATGGTCTTATGGTTAATGCCATGGACTTTCAAGTGGGAGATCAGGGTTCAAAACCCAGCAACTTTAACTAAAATTCTCTTCAAACTTCATATTGTCACACAATTACCCTGATTACAAACACCTGCTGACTTGACAAACACAAGCTGCTATAGAAATCACATTTGAACTTGCTCAGCTCATTCTGCAAGTCCACTGCTGCAGGCAAAGCCATGCTACAAGGCAATACACACTTGTTTTTACACCGTAAAAACCCATGTCTAGTTAATATTATGCTTAATGTTTGACCAAAACTGTTATTTCTCAGAAACACTGGCAGAAAAAGTGATGCGTTATAATAATTCATTCAAGGAATGCTAGGCTTCAATTGTTTATGTTTTTWTGAATAAAATTAATTTAACTGATATTTTTGTTTGCTTGAGGTGAAATACCCAATAAAGCAGGTGGCAGCTGGGAAGTCACCCACAGTCAGAGTGGGAAGTTTGAGCATGTTTTTGCATCAAAGGATCTGTTTGTCATCTGATRTTTCTGTTTTAAAAAGATGTTAAAAGAAGACTAACTTATACTTTGGTTTATTTTAGATGACTTCTGCTACTCCGCCCTGCTCTCGTAGCTCCTCCCCTCACAAAGTCTGCCACTCCCAGACTCAGACAGACGTTTTGAAACCTTTACTGGGCGGCGGCGCGTCTGCCGGGGGCGGGGCCCTGAGGAAGCGGAGGCGCATCCTCTCCAAAGATGGCCGCAGCAACGTTCGCATCGAGCACATCAGCGGGAGGGGCGCGCTCTACATGCGTGACCTTTGGACGACCTTTCTGGAAATGCCCTGGCGCTACAAGTTCTTCCTGTTCACAGCCACGTTCGCCGGAACCTGGTTCTTCTTCGGYGTGGTGTGGTACCTGGTGGCTCTGGTTCACGGAGACCTGCTGGGTGAGAGAGCCAGAGATTTAACAGGGTGGTCAAACGAGTGTAAYGTACCATCCTCCCACTGTTCAACCCACAAGATCTGTCCCATCCTTAAATCAAGGTTTCAGTAAAAACCGTCCCAGAGCAGCAGGAAATTCTTCTGGAGTTTCTACAGATTTTTAGCTCCACAGTTTTATGAGAACATAGAATTTTTTTGAGTCCCCAGCGTAGTCATATTGGAGTGAAAACCTTGAAAATCTTAACCAGAACTGTAAGAATAAAACCGCCATCACGGCCGTTTCTACCCCTCAACTGATTCAGGTTTTGTTGAGTCAACTACAGAATGTGACTCAAAACAAAACTTTAAAACTATGATAGTTAAATGAAACCCACAGATGAGTAGAAAGCTGTAAACATTCAACAGCTAAGTCACAGTTAACATCCAGCTAGTTTTTGCAGGTGTAAATGCACATTTTTAAAAATTTATTGTGTGAGACTTTTCAATTATTTTTGAACTAAATGTCTTAAAGTGCCTGTGACATCAAATTTTTGTAATAAATATCAATGCCTTTTTGGAACAACAACATTAACAGGATACTACAAAACAAATTTCACGCTGCTGCGATGAACTGTTGTTGAGATATTTGGATGTGAAGAAACAGGAAGTGATGTCAAAGGGGAATATCTGCATGTGAGCAGTGTTACTAAAATGGCCAACAACAGACTGTAGAGAAGAATCTGATGTTTCTTCGGATTATTTTGAGTSTCTATCAGAGAGATGAAGAAAAGTCAGAGTTCAAATAACATTGTTTGAATAAACAAAGACCAGAGTTTTCTTTCTTAAAAAAATCCCCCCTTTGACGTCACTTCMTGTTTCATTTTTTCTAGCCAAGTTCAAAAGRAAGTATGCTAGTTGTATGACAAAATGGGTAAAATTGTGTTTTATGCCAATTTCTTGACATATAAAGATGTTTTCTTTGACTTTTTGTGTTTTAAGAATACACACGTCACACACACTTTAAATTCTGTCTGACAATTTGATCAAAACTCTTCTATAATGAACTCACAGTGCTTTTCCTAATTCACTTATAAACACATTATGTRCAAAAGTACTTTTATTGAGTCCGAGAATGAAATTTAAAGTTGTAAATTAATTTTCAGATCTTGATCCACAGCTACAAAAACTTCAAATTTCTAAAATAGATTTGATCATGACCACAAAATGTACTTCCTGTTTGACTTTAGGACAATTATCTACCAGACCTTTAACAGCAGTTTCAGCTGGTTGAGTCGATTTATTTGTTTGTTGGAAAAAAGTGAAGTCATTTTAGTTAAACAATAACTCCTGACAAAACCTCCACCCAAACACAAAACTTACTTTCTCAACCTTTGCCTGTGTGGTCATGAACACTTACAGAGGCCTCAGTTTTTTTGAAAAATGGTTGTGAAAGTTTTAGGGTGTCTAAATCTATTTCCTGTTTATATCTCAGCAAAGCAGCTCTGACAGAGTAGGTGTAAACCAAGGCCCATTTGAAAGGAAAGAAAGCAAATCGTTGAAAAAGTGTGAAAACAAACATGTTGTAGGTGTGACTTTAAAAACTAGGTCTGGATGAGATGGTTAATGTTTCAGCTGCATGAGAAGCTGATTGTGTTTGCTAATCTACTTTTGAGTTGAAGCTGGTGAGGCGCTGCATGAACCGGTTCATTTTCATGAAGTTTGGTGCTGCTTTGCATCTGTAACCACAAACACTATCTGATGATCAGTAATGCAGAAGCAACATCAACAGTGTTTGGTGCATTTCCYGACACAGAATACGGAACTTTAGACTTAAAAGGAAACATTGCAGATATTTCAAAAATCACCTCCTCCCCTGTAATGACTCATCATGTTTTCAGAGTTCACTAAATCATACAATAYGTCAACCATCATACAAGTCATGCAGCAAAACAAGTATCTAAACAAATTCTGCTTTCCAMCATGTTCCACCAGAGTTTGATCCTCCATCAAACCACACCCCCTGTGTGATGCAGATGCAGACCCTCACAGCGGCCTTCCTCTTTTCTCTGGAGTCCCAGACAACCATTGGTTATGGTTTCCGCTGCATCACAGAGGAGTGTCCAGCTGCTATAATCCTCCTCATCCTCCAGCTGGTCATCACCATGCTCATGGAAATCTTCATCACTGGGACCTTTCTGGCCAAGGTACCCAAAACACAACCCAAAAGAGTGGCAAAAGGCCAAACTTTCCTGTATTCTTTCATCTTTTTTTCTGTCTGAAGTACAAGTGYACAGGAAATGTGGTCTGAGAAAGCTTGACAGAAACCAAAAGAGCTCGAGTTTCTTTCTCATCAGGTTGCACGGCCGAAGAAGCGAAGCGAGACGGTCAAGTTCAGTCAACATGCTGTGGTTTCCACCTAYGAGGGTCAACCCTGCCTGATGATTCGTGTGGCCAATATGCGGAAGAGTCTTCTGCTTGGCTGCCAGGTGAACACAGTGCACAAAACAGACACGACAACAACAAACAGACACATTCTAATAGTTTAATGGAACATCACTGGCTCAGAATAAGTCACTGATTCAAGCTGCATGTGATAATATGGCTGCATAGCTGTTTAGCACTTTTTCCAAAAGGTCTTGKATTTGAAACTAAGATGGAACATTTCTGCATAGACAAGTTTTTTTTTGTATTTCCTCTCACAGACTAAAATCATGTTAATTMAACTTCAGACTCTAAATAGTCCCTATGGGTGTAAGTGTGTGTTTGTTGTGGGAAGCAACATATCCAGGGTGTACCCTGCCTCTTGCCCAATGACCCCTGGAAACAAGCACCAATCGCCCATAACCCTGAAGGGTCAACTGAGAAGAAAATTAATGATTTAATACCATTTATAACTTACATAACCACTATCATCAGACACTGATTTGATGTTTTATCTGAAGGAAATTAGTCATTTAGTAAAAGTTGAAGTACTTAAGTCAGCGTTAAAAGTATAGACGTTGGACAATAATTGTAAATATCTGAGAAATCTCCACTTTTTAAATGTAGGAGTACCAAAGCTGATTTCCAGGCATACAATAAATAAGGACTTTTGAACTGAAAGAATTTTATCCTTTATGATTGGGAACAGGTCGTACCAATCTTTCAATGAGCCAGTTCAGTTCAAATAACTTGTTCACACCCATTCTTCCTCAGGTGACAGGAAAACTGCTTCAAACGTCTTTGACGAAGGAAGGAGAAACGGTCCGATTGGATCAGAGGAACGTGCCGTTTCAAGTGGACACTTCCAGCGACAGCCCCTTCCTCATCCTTCCCCTCACCTTCTACCACGTCATCGATGACAACAGCCCGCTGAGAGCCTGGGCAGCCAAGGGTGAGTTCGGTCGAGAGAAAAGAAACTTGCCGGTTTTGCTTCACGTTTAAGATGCTGAATCATTTCAAAGGATGTGTTGTGGTGGCCAATGACGAAACCGATGTTGGAAACCCTGTTTCTGTTGTAACAAAACTGAGAGAGGAACAGAGAAGCATCATAAAACCAACAAAAACATTGTTTTGTTGTGGTAAGGTCACAATAGAATGTCAGATAGATGTCAGTGACATCAATTCTTGTTGTGTTTTTTTTAGTTGACATTTGTCATTGTGTATCCAGTCCAAAATGCAGGAACTTTGCCACTTCTTTTTTTAAAGCTCCTACTGTAAATTAGAAGCTTCCCAACATGTTTGTGTTTTCAGTCATGCAGGACACGATGATCCTGAAGCCTGTTATCACTGGGATGTTTGTCACAGAGACAAACTAGAAATGTGTTTCCTAAGTGTCTTGAAAGGGTTCTCAGTTTCCTCACGTGAGCTGCAGGGATTCACTTCTGTGCTGCTGCAAATTTCATCATGTTGAAAGAATTTGCAAGAGAAACCTTTTCTCAAAAYAGTTGCAGAATCACTCTGGGTGAATCTGGAACATGTCTTGAACCATTCTCAGTTTGGTTTCTGTAAGCACTAGAGCTGTATTTTTTTTGGCAACATGCATGCAAATGTCAAACAAATTTAGTCTTAAATGTTCTAAACTTTTGTGCAAATTTTTCCAAGTGAAAATTTGTGTGTTTTTTTCTCAGAGTTTCCAACAAGTTTCTAGTCACAGTCCAATGAGACTGAGTGGAACACTGTAGAACAAAACTGAACTTTCTAGATTAGGCCAAAGGTCCTTCCTCTTGTAWGCACTGAAGCATTACATTTTTCACACTAAATTTACAGGAAGTCATGTCATCAGCACAGTGTGTATTATTAAAAGGGCAGAAGTTGAGAATTGAACTTTGAAGAAGAGGAATAAAAACGGCTTCTTGTTTTTGAAGCTGAGTTGAGGTGGAGCAAAAAGAAGCTCAACTTCTCATTTGTGAAGACAAGTAGGTTTTTGTACCTAGTTCCTGACGTTTAGGGTGTACTCACAACAGGAAAGTCCTTTTGTCCACTTGTTTGGTCCGGACTAAATACTGAATTTAATTTATTTCTTTTGGTGTGGTTTTCGTTCACATTGTGCTTTTTGCAAGTGGACTGTAATTTATACACAAAGCCATGCAGGTGATTGCTCCTATTCTTTCAGAAATGACGGGGGCGAGACAGAGCMCAGACCAGGAAATAAAGAATGTGCTCTTAATACAACTGACTATTAAGAATATCAAAAGCAGATCATTCAGTGGCAGTTTTGCGAAGATATAATTATAATTTTGGGACAGTGTTGTCAAATGCGTGACACAACCTAAAGGAGACKAGATGCTTCAAGTTCTTTGTCCCACAACAGCTCATTGTTTGTAGCTCAGTGTTAGCATTAGCAATACTGGAGGGCTAATGTTGCTTTGCTACAGTGGCCCCTGAAGTCCAAAAAAAGGCACGATTCCTGTAGCTGGTTTGGTTCAAGGTTGGTCTGTATTCACACCAGAAGAGAACCGCACCAGAGTTTGTTTGGAAGCAGACCAAGACCACCTCTAAAATGGGTCTCGGTCTGCTAGATTGACAGAGACCCAAGATTTCCATGGTCCCTTAGATGGATAAAGAAGTGTTTTCTGTTTGTGTTCGTTTTCTGAACAGAATTCAAGAGAGAACAGTAAMTAGATGCTTTGTACTTTGTTTCAGTGGTATCTTTTCTTTAGACTGCTAATTCATGTGCAAATAAAAACAATACAGTTATCCTCAAAGTGTTCTTTAAACCCCTCTATCCCCCATCAGGTGGCGGCTGGACAGACCCAGAACTGGCTGATTTCGAGCTGATGGTGATCATGAGCGCCACGGTGGAGCCGACCTCCGCCACCTGCCAGGTTCGGACCTCCTACCTGCCGGACGAGATCCTCTGGGGTTACGAGTTCCCCCCCGTGGTTTCTCTCTCCCAGTCGGGCAAATACGTGGCAGACTTTTCCTTCTTCGACAAAGTGGCAAAGACTAAGACCACCCCCGTCTTTAAGTCACCCAGCCCCCTGCACGGGTACCAGAGCAACGGAGGTGGGCCCGTGTCCGAGGCGCTGGATCCCGAGAAGATCCGACTRGAGGAGGGTTACAGGGAGGACCGTGGTCGAGTTAGAGACGGTCCGGTCGGCGTTCGCATCAGCAACGTGTAAACAGACGAACTGGTTTAAACTGGARAAAACATCATGGAAGTCAGGAGCAGTGAAACTGTTGAAATGTTTTAATTTTTTTAAATCATAAACACATAAGGGAAACAACGGTGGAACTTCTGTTTGCAAGACAATACATGTTATTCACAGTTTGTTCTAACACATGACCTAACAGAACRCTCTGGATGTGATAAGATCCTCCTCACACACACTGAATACATGTAGAGTTAACCACTGATCAGACTTTCAAAAGAAACAAACACTAGTTTTCTAGGTGCTTCCCAGTGGGTTAAATGACTAAAATAAAACGAAACAGTTGTGTAGTTTTCCACACTTTCAAAATTGAGACAAAGTAAAAATATAAACACCCGCCTATTTTAAGGAAAGATTATTTTGTTCCCCACCTTCAAGTTTGTTCCATAATGGAAACTTTTACAAAAATGGATATGTGCTTTAACACACGAGTCAGATGASACTGACAAGTCTTTTATGGCAAAACTCAGAGTTTGCACACGTTTCACCCAACTTCCTCTTTGGTATCATGTATATTTTTACATTTCTTCTGCAGTAGACTCAATTCTGTGCAATTATTTTGCATCTGAAATGTAATGGAGGTTGTTTGTTCTGAGTATTACATTTTTTATAGAGTGTTTTCACACAGCTGTTTCTATTTCATGTAAATAWACTGTATTTTAGCACTTTAGGAACATGATGTTGCACATCAGAATGTTAGCTGATAATGTTTGAAATGTTACAAGAGTAAAATATTTTAAATACCACAGAATGCATTAAAATGTGTACAGAGATGATTTTACTATAAAGCTGCTGTTTAAAACTGGAAAGAAACTTTTTTCACACTTCTACAAGCACCTTAAATGTAAACAATCAGCTGRTAATGACAGGCTGTTTAATAAAGGAGAAGCAGTTTGTTCAAATGATTTTTGAGTTACTAACACTGTGAAATAAACACTTAATAAAAGTGCTTCTTATTTTTCTGTTTAGATAAATCTTGGAGCAGAGAGTTCACTGTAAGATACAAGAATGTAAAGATGGTTGTAATAAAAAGAGGAGAAAACYGARTCACTTCGCTGTTTTCAGTTTGCASGACGAATAATAATAATGGTAAAAATTTGTCYGTTGACAGATTTTGTTTTGAGCCAYGTTRAAAACAGATTAACAGATTTACAAGAATCTATAAATAAATACACGTTAATGAGCAGAAGACATGTATCCAATAAATGACACCAGTGAATCAAACAAAAATTAAATATTGATTTATTGTTATGTCTATCAAAAGAAATTATGAGCTACTGAAATGACCAGACAATTCTTTTAATCTGACATCTCTTCATGCGTTATCACTAAATAAGCGTTTCCACATAAAAAAGGTTAAAATATTTAGATTTGAGTAAAATAACGTAAATGAAATATTTTCAGAGAGGATCAAGCTGCAGGACGAGCAGGATTATTTACTGTACTGTTAAAGTGAAGCACTTATTACATGGATTAGTTATTAGAACAGCACCCATCTGCCCTTCAGTCACAACCAGGTGTTCAACGGACCAAACCAGTCAGGCTGAGACGGGAGGTGACTTTTGAGAGACATAATCTATAATTTTGTCTATAAAAACAGTGGATATGCTTATTTTTCTATATACTGTATTGTGTAAAGGTATAGTTTCCTCAAACAATTTAKTGCAGGGCAAAATCTTTATTTTGCAAAATTGTGAGGGTCTGTACCGAATCGACCCCACCCCCCTGGACTTCCTCCACAGTTTGAACAAAGTGAGCATCGTTTCCTGATTTCAYCAGTTCAACACAACCATGATTGTAACGGCTTTTCTGCTGCTCTTCTCTCTGCTGGATGCAGTTACAGGTAAAATCTTGTGATTTCTTACTTTACTTTTTCCACTGTCATTAAGAAACCTGTTGATTAGAAATATTTTAAATTAGGAGTAAAAGTATCTAACTGTCAGTACATCCCTGTTTAGTCCAGACATTGTTCATTGTTGGAATAATGTAAAATACTCTTCATAAAAAAACAATATTAAAATACAATTTCTGTAAAATTGTATTTTTAGTGGCTCAGTTGTCAGAGCTGATGCATGTGTGGGTTCTCTCTGGATACTCCGGCTTCCTCCTACAGACCAAAAACGACTGTCAGGTTAACTCTAAATTATCCCTATAGGTGTGAGTGAGAGAGTGAATGGTTGTTAGTCTTGTTTGTCTCTATGTGTGGCCCTGTGAGAGACTGGAGACCTGTCCAGGGTGTACCCCGCCCCTCACACTGTGACTGATGGATATGGGCACCTGTGACCCTCGTGACCCTAGAAAAGGAAGCAGCAGGTATAGATGATGGATGGATGCATACATGAG